ATCAACACTAACCGATCAACACTAACTGATCAACACTAACCAATCAACACTCACCAATCATACACACTCACCGATTAACACTCACCAAAAATCATACTACACACTCACTGATCATATACAGCACTCACCGATCAACACTCAGTAGCGATCGACACTCAGTGATCGACACTCAGTGATCAACACTCAGTGATCGACACTCAGTGATCGACACTCAGTGATCAACACTCACTGATTAACACTCACTGATTAACACTCACCGGTTAACACTAACCGATCAACACTATCCGATCAACACTATCCGATCAACACTAACCGATCAACACTAACCGATCAACACTATCCGATCAACACTAACCGATCAACACTAACCGATCAACACTCACCAATCAACACTCACCAATCAACACTCACCAATCAACACTCACCAATCAACACTAACCGACCAACACTAACTGACMAACACTCACTGATCAACACTCACCAATCAACAAGGAAAGTTGTGCTTAGAATGCTTCGTACTACAAACAAAATTATTTTCAAATTGGGCTATGGAACAAGAATCTACAGAAAATACTGGTATCATCATGATGTTATCAGATCGAAATAGAATCAAAAACCTCTACGGATGAAAATAAGTACAAAATATATATCTTAGGGTTCAGGTTATTATCAAACACTGATTCCTAATACAGTGCCTTCAACTTCCACTGCCGCCGAAGCAGACCAATAGGTACTATGCATACGTATGGAAAATACATACACACCATTACAATACGTACAAAGTGCAGTACAATAAAGGTCTGGTTCGACTTCCACTTGCAGTGTACCGCAAAAGACCTAATCACCCATTCCCGTTGAGTCATAGACTCGATTTATGTCAGCATAGATTCTATGTTTACGGGAATCACCCAATATATTGAGCTTAATCCAACCCGAGAGGTGCATAGTGTACTATTATTGGGACGGAGGTTGTATCAAAGGCTTCTGATGTGTCAGACGCAGTCTGAGAGATTTCGAAGAATCATCACGATTCACTGCATTTCATGTTTTTGAACAACGGGTTAGACCATCCCTTCATTACCCTTCCAATGAACCAACTGTTCTGAAAACCTAACGAATTTTGCGACCAACTCGCTGCTTTGCAGTAATCTGATGATGTCAAAAGCGACCATACCTTCATTTGCCTTTCCTGCACTTTTCCTTACTGCAATATACTATGCAGATGCATTCGGTTCGAGCGATCCGATGGCGTTGTCAACGGTAGCCCACAGTCGCCTGAGGGACGCAAATCACGCGCCGTTTGCACCCCATAAGCATGTTTCCGCGTCGAGGAAGAACACTGTGCTTCGAATGGGTTTCCTCGATTCTGTATTTTCGCGGTTTATGGATAAGAGGGAAGGAGACTTTGTCCGATTGGAAGACATGAACGAGCAATTCTTTGGACCCGGCCCCGCACTCTTGCTTTACAGTATCCCGGATGCAATCGAAGACGACGAAGTGATGGACATGCTCTCGGATGGTGCTCCTGTTGCTACGTCGAAGGGAATTTCCCTGGCACGAATCACCGCCACGGACTTGCAGGCCAACGCGTGTGATGGCGACGAATCGGATGGCAGCAACCAATCGCTATTGGATCTGAGTCTCAACGAGGCCTTGGACACAGTAGTCCAAAGAGAAACGGTATCTTCGTTAGCTTCCACTGCCACAATTGGAAAGGTTTCAACCAACGTTGAAGAACCTTCCTGGACAGGGTTGCAGGAGAAAGAAGGAGAAACACCGTCGAAGGTGACAGGCTCTCCGGTAGTGTTATTTTCTGGCTTTTCAAACAAAGAAATGATGGCCAGCTACAACATTCTTGGCGAAGAAATATACAAAGAAACTGCTAGCTATGGTCAACCTGGAGTTTCCCTGGCGTGTGCCACGGCGGTGCCGAATGCCATGGAAAAACCTTTGCGACAGGTCCTAACGGAAATATCCGGGGATCACGCCGAAGCCATGAAAGAAGAGGAATAATGGACAGCTGGTAGAAAAGGCGACAAGGAAAGGAGTAAAGAGACTTTCGAAATGTAACAACTACATTGGTGCCCACCTGTACCAACGACTCTCAGATGCAAAATGAAAGCAAGGGCTATCATCATCCCTACCACTTTTAGTGGACACTTTTAGTGGAGTGGCTTTGTTTCTGACGGATTGAGAAATAGATAAATTCTCCTCCATGTACAATAGCTTGGATTCTACTCCTCCAGACACTAATGGTCTTGAGACTTGGTCCTGTATAATTTATCCCGGGGTTTTCCTGTCATAGTAGGCTCTAGTTTCTTTATCAAGAGATCTTTTCTGCTGAGGAAGTCTAGCTAGTACTAGTACTACTTGTAAAGAACACTGATTGCCCAAGCAAATATTCTGTATTCTTGGATTTGATTTCAAAATGGGTAAGGTAAATCATTTAATTTTTGCCTGCAAAAAGCTCTTTGTTCAGGTTTGATTTTGATAAGAGTTGAAATATTCCAAAAAAGACACAAAAAAATAAAAAGCGAAAACTGATGTTTCGTAGCGTAACATAGTACGGTACGATACGTAATACCATTACTAGTTACTGCACACTGCACTCGTATTCGTAAACGGATGACATCATGAGTATGAGTACGAGTAGGTATCGTACTGCATGGTACTGTACGTACAAGTACTAGGAAGCGAAGTGCGAATAGGTACGAGTATTGTACGTACGTACGTACGTATGAATCGAACCGCGTAAAAATGAAAAGTGTCTCGCGACAATCCGCGCAACTCGAAAACCACAAAAGGGTCGCGCGAAACCATCGCTGTTTCTTGTCTGTCTGCCCAGAACATCATGCATGGGTGGACGAAGACGGACTTCAGACGGAACAACGATCAGTTGATGATCCGTTGTTGCCACAAGGGCACTGATGTACCCGTAGTCGTACCTGTTGCCGGTATAAATTTTTTCGTCAACAAAAAAATTGTTGATCGGCGAAGATCGGTATCTTCAGCGAAGACTTTCCGGCCGCAGGCTCTTTGGCAAAAAGACATCAGTCGGAGACCGCATCTAAGTATTGACACGGCAGTGCGAACTACGAGACGATGGTGATTCGAGCGTCTTCCGTAGTGCGCCTCTCGAGGCACTGGAGGGCGACGTCCGCGAGGATTTCTTCGGGGGCTTCCTCGAGGAGGCTTGCGTCTGCCGCTGCTGGCAGCAGCTGCACCGGGGATTCGTCCACCGTGAACAATCTCTTGCTGGCCGCGGGTGCGGCATCGATTCTCGCTGCCGGCGTTGCACTGGGATCGGCAAACGCCACTGCCACCAACACCACCGACTGCGAACAAGACTGGGGCAATCTTCCAGCATTTGGAAGCAGCTCGGATTCTATTCCCGGGAGTGAATATTCCGAAAAAGCCAATGGTAGCAACAACAACACTATCTTGCTTTCGAAGATAAAGCGCAAACGCACACAACAGGAGATCGACGATCTGGAAAAAGAAAGGCAAAAATTTGAAGAGCTTCTGGGACAGAACATTCTCTCTACATCGGCTGCCTTGCCTGGCGGTTCGGATTCAAAAAGCACTGAGAGTGTTACCACCAAAAAAATGTATTTTTACAGGACGTCTCAGATCGAAACGGAAAAAAAGAGTAAATTTATTCTTTTGGCTGGTCCAAGCTCGGACCAACTGGGCAGCGACATTGCCCACCTTCTCGGCAAGGAACTCAACAACATGGATGTTGGAGCATTTGCCGATGGCGAAACGAAAGTGGAACTCGAAGATTCTGTTCGGGGAAAACACGTCTACCTTGTGTGCTCTACCTCCAGTAACGACGCCGTTATGGAATTGACCTTCATGCTTTCGGCTTTGCGCCGGGCGAGTGCCAAATCCATCACGGCAGTCATTCCATACTTTGGTTATTCCCGCCAAGACCAGCAATTCGGAAGAGAACCAGTAGCGGCTTCCGATGTAGCTATTGTAAGTTTCGTTTAGCGATATCCAAGAAACACTCGAACGGGAGGATGGTTTTCACTTTCAGCATTGTTGACAATTGGTTGCCGGTTGTACAAAGAACTCAATTTTTTCTCGCTTTGCCTGACCTTTCTTTGACAAATCGTTCGATCGTATAGATGTACGAAGAGATGGGAGTAGATCACGTCATGTGCCTGGACCTCCACAATGATTCCCTTCGAGGCTTTTTCAGTCCGAAAATACCAGTCGAGAATCTGGTTCCGGTTCCTGTCGCAGCAGCATACTTCAATGAAGAATTAGTTGGCGACGGTGAGAAGATCACCGTTGTTGCATCGCACGAAGGACAGGTGAGCCGAGCCACTATCTTTCGAAACGTCCTCCAACGACTGAGCGGTGAAGATATCGAACTTGCATTCATTACCAAGGCAAGGCAGAGAAGGGGCGAAAAGAAATACACACCACAGGTGGTTGGGAATGTGAAGGGTCGCAAATGCGTCATTGTTGACGATTTGGTAAACACTGGAACCACGCTCGAGAGCAACGTCGAAAAACTAGCCGAAATGGGAGCAAAATCAATTCATGCCTGGGCGACGCACGGGGTGTTTGGTCCAAAAGAATTGTGTCAGGCAAGGGAAAAGATTGGAAGCCTGAAAGATTTGGAATACCTGCTGATATCGAACTCTGTCAAGTACGACGGTGCCCTTCCTGATAAGATCCGGCAGCTGAATGTCGCTCCCCTTCTAGCGGAAGCCATTGCTCGCTCCTTTCACCACGGATCGGTTTCAGGTATTCTCAACCTGAATGAAACCATTCAAGAACGGTACGACAGTCGGTAAACTCAGCAGCCGAGTCGAGTGACAACAAATGAACGAAATCATAAGTTATACGTGCCAGCGATTGATCTTTGGTCGTTGTCCTCCTGCTGGTCAACAATCTTTGGTTTTCAGTTTCAACGAATTAGTACATAATTACATAACATCAATTCTGTTGAGTAATATGATGTTGGATATGAATACCCCCGTGCCTATCATACACTTCAAGTTTCAACTTTGGCACTATTTTCTGTTGATCAATATGTTTCACCCTTTTGTATCAATACTTAATGTTATATATTTTAGGCAGATTCTATCTAGATTTATTTCCCCAGACACCCCAGAGCTCTAAAATGAAAACACCCCCAGTGATTTGTGTCCTAATCCGTAAATGATTCCCATTTTGTGATCACTTCACGATCACGATCTGGATTGTTTTTCATTGCTGTCTCCCATACAGTGAAAAAAGCCTCTTGAATATTGAACCACGTCTCCTCGTCGTGTCCTTGGCAAGCTTCCTCAAGAATTTCTTCAAACTCTTCCCATCTTAAATCATATTTTCCATTCGTGAAATTGTCTAGAAAGGCATCGTGTATCCTTCCGATAATGTTGCTTGGTATCTCATCGCCGAGTTTCTGTTCGGTTTCGGTTAGAAGTGGATGAAGATATTCTTCCATTAAGTCAGCTTTCGATTCTGACATAGATTTCGTAAACTTTTGATTCCTTGGGGCTTTCAATTCTTCTTCTGCTATTGAAGATTCTGGACTGTCTGTTTCCCTATTACTGGGTGAAGAGTTTCTTAAATGAGCACTAAGTTTGTCATTCGCAACTTGGTGTTCGATTGTAGTAGCGAAAGACGTGGATGCTTCAGTTTTGTCGGAATGGTGTCCATCCTCTTTTTGAGTTCGTCGAACGTCTACTTCACCGCCGCTAGGGCGGACCCGATTCTTTTCATTCTTTTCGGGTTCAAGCTCGTTCAGATCTTTTCGCTCGGCTTCATTTTTCTGGGCTCTTTCTCGAAGGTCTCTGTCCAGCTCTTCGTCGTGCCTCGTGGTGAGTTTTTTCTCGGTAGCATTGCTTTTTGTAATATGCAGAATCTCCTGCTCGAGCTCGGCGACACGACGTAGGAGAAGTTTAAGATGTCGGTTCCCCTCGAGTGTGATGTTGACGTATTGCGAAGATAGCTTTTTGTTTTTCTTTTTGTATAACTCAAAATCGTGCTTTAATCCCGAGTACTTCTCATTGAGAACTCCGTTTTCCTTTCGCTCTCTATCAATCATATTTATGAGAGATTCCATTTTCTCTGACTCCTTTCCTAGCTCTGAAACCCACTCCTTTTCGTGTCCTTCTTCTTTCGTCGTATCTATATCCATTTCTAGCTCGCGTATCTGGGCTGATAAACGCTCTTCTTGATTCCTTGCCTCATCTCGACTGGAGGCTAACTCCTTCTCCATTTCCAATATTTGAAAGTACAAATGCTGTTCATTCTTCAACGTTTTCTCGATCGTGGATTCTAATTCTTTCTCAAGTTCCAAAGTGCGGACAATAAGCTGTTCTTGTTCTTTCTTTTCTCTGTCCAAAGTTGACTCTAGATTGGTCTCGAGCTCAAGGATACGATCAGTAAGGTTTTGGTCAATTATCTGGGCGCCGTTATTTGTGGCGTCCTTCGGCTCTTCCTCAAGGATTGTTAGCTCTTGCTCGAGTTCCGCAATCTTTGCATTGAGAGCTTCAAGTTCATTTTTGAAGTCGCCAATGCGACCATTCAGGCTCTCGATAATTTTATCGTTCTCTTCTGTATTCATTTCAACCTCGTTCTGCATTGTTTCAATGATGTCATTCAGACGCTCCTGTTCGGCTCTTTTTGCTTCCAGCTCGAATTCATATTTCCCTGCCGCCTTTTCAACTTTATCCTCTAGTTCATGAACAAGCTTATTTAGGCGTTTCTGTTCGGTCTTTTCTGCTTCCAGTTCGTATTTGAACTTGAGGTCATTTTCATCCCGTATTTCCTGTGCCTTCCTACTTCTTTCAGTAGCCATTTCGAGTTCTTTCTGCAATTCCAAAATTTGGGCATCAAGGTGTTCTTGTTTTCTTTTATACGAGTCTAGCTCTTCCTCGAGTTTCAGATTACGGGCCTCGAGCTTGCTATTTGCCTTACTGTGCTTTTCTACGACCTTTTTCGCTGCACTGTCGTGTTTTTCTCCTCTCACTTTGCGTTCATCTTCTAGCTCGCGAACAACCTGAAGGAGACGATCATGTTCTGCCTTTCCCGATGCTAATTCCGTCTCAAGTTCCGCAATTCGGGTTTGAGTGATGTTTCTCACCCGTTCAAGCTCGATTTTGAGCGCAGCAACATCACCACTTATTTGAACTTGCGCGCTTTTCTCCAAATCAATTTCCTTCCGCATTTCGACTATGCGATCCTCAAGACGACTCCGTTCTTGATAGCTTGATTCCAGGTCATTTTCAAGAGTGAAAATGCGTGAATTGAGTTGCTCTTGCTTCTTTTTATTCTCATCGACTAGTGTTTCAAGCTCGTTCTGCATCCCAGTTGGAATGCTTTTTGGAATTTCTTCGATACCACGCTCATTTGTATTCGAGTCAAGTACATCCTGAAGCTCAGAAAGACGCTCCTCTAGGCGGTTCCGCTCTGTATTGGCTGATACCAGTTTTTGCCCAAGATCCAGGTTAATAGCAGTGACTGAATTGTAGTCTTCTGTTATCGTTTCAAATTCATCCCTTAGCTCGTCAACATTTTTTTTCAGACGAATGTGCTCAGACTTTCCTAGTTCCAACTCCTTTTCCAACTCGAGATTTTCTGCTTCGATTGCTTTATATTTTTGCGCATGTGTTTCTATTTCAATATTCAACTCGTCGACAGTTTGTTTAAACTCCTCTCGAACTGTTCTTTCCGCTTCTAGCTCTTCTTCGAGCTCAGAGACCCTATCAGCCAGATTGTTTCTCTCCTTAATAAGGTCTTGATAGAAGCTACTGGGATTGTACTGCCCCTCTCTTCCCTCCTCTTTGGAATCGTTGTTTTGCAACGACAACGCTAGCTCTGCCTCTAGGTCAGCTATGCGTGACTCGAAATGTTTCTTCCTGTTGCCATCGCGGCGCATCTGTTCAGCCTTTGCTTCCAGCTCGGCAATTCGTTCCGTTATACGATTATCAAGCTGCTTGCGCTGTTCGTCATCTTTCACCGATGATGCTAGCTGTGTCTCCAGGTCTGATACACGTGAGTTGAGATGCTTCACCTCTTTCTCATGGATCTGTGTAGTTTTCTCCGCTTTTGCTTTCAATTGAACAAATCGTTTCGTCAAACGCTCTTGTTGCTTGATTTCTTTTTCCAATGCAGATTCCATGAAGCTTTCCAGCTCAAGAGCACGAGAGCATTTTTCTTCGAGTTCTTTTTTCGTCGTTTCCAATCCATTGACTTGTTCTTGAAGGAGCCTCTCTTGGTCTGTTGTGTCTCCGACATTCGCTTCCAAGTCACGAAGCTTTTGCTTTAAGAGATTTTCTCGTTTTGTAGATTCTTCAACAATTTTAGTAAGCCATCTCTCCATTTTCTTGTTTTTCTTTTTTGTTTCTTGCAATTCTTCTTCTTGCGCTAAAAATTGGTCAGAGGAAATCACATTTCGGCCATCAGAATCAACAGCATCAGCAGGAAGGGTCTCTTTCTCTTTCTTTGCTTCGAATTCCTTGTATATTTGTTCACGGAGGAATGTTTCTTGGTTCTCAAACTTGTCAACACTTTCTTCAAGTTCGCTGATTTTCTGTTTCAAAAGATTCTCGCGTTTAGTAGATTCTTCTACCACTTTGGAAGCAAGGAGTGTTTCTTGGTTTTCAAACTCGTCAATGCTTGCTTCAAGCTCACTGATTTTTTGTTTCAAAATATTCTCGCGTTTAGTAGATTCTTCTACCACTTTGGAAGCAAGGAGTGTTTCTTGGTTYTCAAACTCGBCAATGCTTGCTTCAAGCTCACTGATTTTTTCTTTCAAAATAGTCTCGCGTTTAGTAGATTCTTCTACCACTTTGGAAGCGAGGAGTGTTTCTTGGTTTTCAAACTTGTCAATGCTTGTTTCAAGCTCAGTAACTTTCTTTTTCAAAAGAGTTTCGCGTTTGGTAGATTCTTCAACAACTTTGGTAAGCCACTGTTCCATTTCTTTGTTCTTTTTCTTTGTTTCTTGCAATTCTTCTTCTTGCTCTCTGTATTGGTCGGAAGAAACTGTGTTTTCAGCATTTACAGCAATGGTCTCTTCTTCCTTCTTTGCTTCAAATTCCTCGTATATTTGTTCACGGAGGAGTGCTTCCTGGTTCTCGAATCGATCAACGCTTGTTTCCAGCTCAGTGATTTTCTGTTTCAAAAGAGCTTCGCGTTTGGTAGATTCTTCAACAACTTTGGTGAGCCACTGTTCCATTTCTTTGTTTTTCTTTTTTGTTTCTTGCAATTCCTCCTCTTGCTCTCTATATTGGTCAGATGAAATTGTATTTTCAGGAGGAGCAATGGTTGCCTGATTTTCTTCTTTCTCCTTTGTTTCAAACTCGCTGCGCATCTGTTCACGTAGGAGTTCTTCCTTATGCTCCGTCTCATCAATGTGTGCTTCAAGCTCATTAACTTTCTGCTTCAGAAGCGTTTCGCGTTTTGTAGATTCGTCGACAACTTTGGTAAGCAATTCTTCGAGTTTTGATTTTTTTAGCCGAAGTTCTTCCATTTTTTCTTCTTGCTTCCTACTTTCGTCGGGGGTTGCCCTGTTACCAGGTGTTGCAGCTCTAGTGCTTTCCTCTTGACTGCCTGCGTCGTCACTGACAGAGCTTTCACTTTCGTCCCCGTCTGTTTCGTCGTCAGCGGTGTCATCATCGTCGGTTTCGTCGTCGTCGGTTTCATCATCGCTCACGCCACCATCACGCCTTAGCTTCATGGACCTGCTTTTAGCTTTTTTGTTCCTGGCATGCTCATTGTCACTGTCACTATCACTATCACTCTCATTGTCACTGTCACTGCTGCTGCTGCTTTCGTCGTCATTCTCGAGTTCCTTTCCTTCCCCCGTTTCAGCTCCCTTTGGCATTCTTGGTTTTGTGCCCGATCCCGACGCTTTCAAATCGCGAATCATCGATCGGAGCCTGTCACGATCTAGCTCCATCGCCTCGAGTTCGTCCTGTAATTCGAGGACCTTGAATTCCATGTATTTTGTGAGTACCGTCGGCCGCTCGGGATCCATCCCCATCATGGACATCATTTCGATGCATCTCCCATCGATCGCGGCACCATCTGTCGCTCTAGCTCCCGGAGAGATTATTATTCGCTTCCCATCCCTATCGAAGCCGTTGTCCCGCAAGACTATTTCGAGTCGTTGAATACGTTTTTGCAGATCGGAGTTTTCGTCTTGCAAAGAATAGATATGTTCTTTCGACGGATAAGATGAAAGCTCTTGGTCTTCCTCCCGGTCTCTATGGTTCCTGCCGTCTCCGCTGGCATCGTTCCCTTCGTACGGGAATCCTTCGTCACCGTGTGGAAGACGCTCGCCTCCTGTGCTTTCTGACGAATCGTCGTCGTCGTCACCGTTGGCGTTACCGAGTACGCGGCTTGAGGAAGAATAACCCGATGCAGAAGGTGCAATCGCGTACACTTTTGTCCTTGCAGGAGTGAACGGAATGGTGGACTTTCTTAACGCGGGAACAGGTTGCAGCAGCAAATCCCTTCTTCCGCTCCCCATTGTCGCTGTACGGTATTCTACTTCATCCAAACACTACTATCATTCATCAATACCTAATAATCAATCAAACAAACATGCTATTCTATTGTGTCATTAGGGGAGGACGTGCCAAGTCTAGACAATCCAGATGCCAAGTCAAAACAGCCCGAAAATGTTCGGTTGTTGGAAGTTTGTTGATCTCTTAACCTGAACAAGAGGACGAGCTCTGCGGTATTCGTACATGTGGACTGCCAAAAAACTTGAAACTGCTTCCGCTGCGTGAAGTGCTTGAATTCGTTCGTTAGCGTAAATAGACAACTAAAATTTCCATAAACAGGTACGAGCACGAGTACCATGCCTACGCACTCGCACTCATCATTTTATCGTCGAGATGCGCCAAAAAATCTCGGATGTCATGACCAAAAGTTGATATGCCCCACCTATGTATATTGTATGACCGTGACTGATTGAAAGATCAACAAAGAACAAGCACGAGTTATGGTACATATTGAAGTACAGTACAGTACAGTACTGTAAGGACGACAGACAGACAAAAAAGATAAAAATACTACTGTAATACTTCTACTAGTAGTACAGTATTACATATTGGGTGATTCCCGTAAACATAGATTCTCAGAAAATTGAATTAGATTTCAGTTGTGCACACATAAAAGTATGTATTTCAGACACAAATACATAGATTTTTGGTTCTCACAGTCCCACGTGTGCCAAAAGTACTAGTACTACTATGTATGCAAGAAACACATCCTTTTTTAGAATTGTGGACTCAGAAAATCCTTAGTCATGGAGAGCAGGGGGAGCTAAAAATTGGGCGCCAAAACATATCTCAAGTGTCACCTTGGGGGAGACTGTTCTAAAGTGTCACAAAGTGCGGCAGAACATATCTAAAGTGTCACAAACAACAAGCTGGGGGAACCAGTTCTAGTAAAGTGTCACGATTTTGAAAGAAAAGTAGCTTCAGCAGCATCAAATGGGCATCGACACTTGCTGAAAAGAATCATGGTGCTGGATCATTTTAAAAAGGACCACCACAAAGTCACTAGAATTCATCATCCTTTGTGTCGCTCTCTACCACAAGCTAGATGAGAATGATTTGTCTCCAGAGGAGAGACGCAGAAGGGATAGGAGAACCCCAACAAGAATTGCAATCAGAAGATACAATCAGTCTCCTTTCTGTCACTTGTTTAGCTCTGGCAATGAGCAAGTGCTTCTAAACTGTTATGGTGTAGACCGCAGGGTCTTCAGAGGTCTCATGGTGCTCTATGTGCCAGTGTTCAACATGTACATGGTTGATGAGGCAACAGGAAAGATCCGTAGAAGAAGCTTCCACAGGAATGGAATGCCAAAGGGTCAACATTGTGAAGCAACTGCATTGTGTTGCCTTGGGTTGATGCTGCACTGGTTCAGGACCCATGGTTCAGTAGCAAGATGCCTCTCCATGGTATTTGGGCTTACATTGACACAGTAATGTACAAGTGGATCAAGTTCTCCAGGTGTGTTGTTCTCCTCTACGTCTTGCAAGACCATCCAGATGCAAGTCCTGCCAGAGAGGATATTGATGCTTATGTTCCTGCTATTGGTGAAAAATACCCACTCCTTGAACAACAAAGAGGAGTATGGGGTGCTGCTCATGGGCTGAAGCTTGGATTGCAGAAATCTTCAAACTGGGCAACACAGAACATGTACTTCAATAGATGGACATGTGATATGTTAATGATTGGTGGCATCTTCATCTTTACTCCAGATGGCAAAATTAGAGGAACCATCTTCAGCTGTCCAGGATCTTGGCATGATAGCACCATATCAGACTATGGAGTCTACAGGAGGATGGAGGAGATGTATGAGTTGTATGGAGCAAAGGCTGTCGTAAACTTGTCCTTCAACTTGACTGACAAGCAATATCTTCTTAGAAGCTACCAGAAGGATCCAGATCCCCTTGTCATCACAGCAGCAACAACAACACTGCTGAAAAACTTGCTGTTGCTGTAAACTCATAAGCCACCTCACTCAGACAGCTGTCAAAGTGGGGAATGAGAATGATCCTAGGACAGTTTCCAAGGCTAAAAGACAGGATCAGGCTTGAGGAGCAAGGTGAAAGAAAGATTCTCCTGAACACAGCCATCTTGTTGTACAATTATCAACCCAGCACTGTAGGCATCAATCAGATCCTTAATATGTTCAAGCCCAAAGAAGAACAGAAGAAGGGGTTCTTCTTGCATCATACCACAACACTTGATGTGGATGCGAACAACTTGTTTTGGTGAGATACTAGCCGCAACAATGATACAACAATACATCACAACAACAGGAATGGACGCAACACTGATACATAATACTAAGAAAACAACAATAGGATTCATTCCAGCAGCAGCAACAAGAACAGACCAAACATTGATACGCAACAACAATAACAATGAAAAACACAACAACAACATGCAACAACGATATGCAACAACTATACACAACGACAATGTGCAACAACAATGTGCAACTACAATGTGCAACTACAATGGGCAACAACAATACACAAGAACAAGGATGATATGCCAGCAATACAGACCCCACAAAGGACGACAATTCCCATGGTCAACCTACCATTTTCAATCAATACAGCAGCACAACCAAGTAGGTTTTGACTAATTCCTATCTTCTTCTTTGTATCAGCAAAATGAGTGCTTCATGGTGGAGGAGCATAGAGCAAAGCTCCATGATACACTGTGTTAAAGTTGGATTTTGTACATGATATTTTGTGTTATTTGAATTTTTCAAAGTTTAACATTGTCTGTTGAAGCATTGATATATCTGTTGAAGCGTTGAAATTCATAAGAAATATCCGTGTTGAATACATTAATGATCACAAAGATTCCTTAATAACGAGGCAGGAATAGAATCAATAAGAAATATACATTTTTAATGTAATGAATAAAAGCAATGCATGTTGGAGTATTCTTGGACGTCAGTTGAAATTGAAGTTGAAGATTTCTGTGTAGAAAAGGTACTGAACAACTTGAGCTAACACATACGAGTACGAGGTTATTCTTCTAACCCAGTTGCTTTTGCCATAACATAGCAGTCATTACTATAAACCAAATGGAAGATGTGAATTAGTAATGAATAAGATTAGATAAATTAGATGTAGTTAAATGTAAATGCGACAATGGGAATTGACAATGGGTTTCGATGAAGAATCATTGCTGTTGCTTCTGGAGCAACTATTCTTCCTCTTGCAACCAGCTTTTTTAAGTGCTGCAAGGCAATGATGACGAGGGATCCAAGAGCATTTCCAATTGCCTGATAGGCCTCCTTCCTTTCTTCCCTGGCTCTCTCAGAAGCTCTCTTGCACTGTTCAATGTGTGCCTCCAATGCCTTTATGATGCCACGCTTTGCATTGGCAGTGTTGTAAGATCAAACCGAGGGGGCTCTCCCAGGTGTAACAGCTGTTGCTGTTGTGTCAGCAACTGTAACTGCTGCAGCTGTGGTGCCATCGTGGTTGTTCTGATGGATCTCTTCCTCCTGAGTAAATTCTTGTTCTTGCAAATGTTCTGTTTCTTGTGAGGAAGCTTGTTGGCGTGGTGGAGAGGCAGGGGAGGTGCATCCTTGTTGTTGTTGCCATCAGGATTGTCATTGCAACCCTGAGGATGTATATATCCTTCTTCAATATCAAAGTTCTCTTCTCCATCTCCAATATATGCCTTCACGCCAATCAAGAACTTGACCTTCTTGGCAAGTCTCACTGCCAAAGGACAGTTTGGATCTCCCGTAGGGATGGTCTTCCTATGAAGGGTTGAATACTTCCTACGGATGGAGGAGACATCCCTCCTATTGGTATCAGGATAATTCTCAGCATGAGTCACTTGTTCTACTTCCTGCCACTGATCACTCCCAATATGAAGCCTTGCCAAGATGACATACATCAAGTCAATGGTTTCCGGAGTGCCATAGTTGATTGTACCAGATCTTTGGCCTCCTGCTGCTCCAACGATTGTTGCTGTTTGTGGTGCTGGTTGCTGAGGCTGTTTGTGTCTTGTTAAAACCATCTTGTGGATTGATGTTGGGGAATTGATGTTGTTTTTGTGTGTGTCTGGAATCAATTCCTCAAACTACATGCTTTTTGCTGCATTCCAAGCAGCTCCTCCTCCCCCGGGGAAGGGGGGGGGGGGGGTTCTCGGGGTTCTCAACTTTTAATTCCTGTTGACATGATTCCGTCAGGGGTTCTTCCTTGGCATCAATGTCCTTTTGTTGAGGATGCACGCTAGTAGATAAGAATGTCAGCCAGTTACATCAGATTTTGTATAGTGAACTGTTCATGGTTCACCTGGTGGCGTTTTGGATTTGTTTTGCTCGCTTCTTGCTGCTGGCACCATGTGTTCTCAATATTTGGCAAGTATGCAGTTATTTTCTGTTAATTTCAAGCAAATTCCATATTCCAAAATTAACCACATGTAGCAAGCCATAATCTATGATTTTAGATTCTATGTTGATACATACTCAATCCCATGCACAAATTTGTAAAGTAAGACAGCATAGATTCTATGTTTACGGGAATCACCCTTACACTATTGTTGTACCTTAGTAGCGTACCGTACGTACGTTACCACCGTGAACAGTGAACAGTGTGACCAGATGTTCTTCGATCTTCGACAAGAGCCAAGTACAGTAGAAAAGAAAGCATTCTCTACGAGTCAGTACCGTACATACCAGTTAAACTGTACCAGTTTACTAGCACGAGTATTATCATCTTCTAGTAGTGAGAATGAATCATCGTAATCATCATCAGCATTTGCGTTAGGAACAGGAGGCTACAGAACAGAAGCAAGACAACCTAGAACAGTTTTCGAAAACAGCATCTTTTGCGCCGTAGCGGAAACTATTACGAAGAACTACAATTAAATCTTGTCACGCATCAACAGCACTACTACACTGCCATGATTTCCTCGTCCTGGTTTATGAGCAAAACCGTGCCACTGGTTGCACGGTCTATTCTATCAAAGAGCAACAGAGCGACGGTGACAGCTGGCGCCACACTTCCAACCCGTCGGGGTTACCGCGGGGACACCGGAGAAGCTGTGAACAAGCTGACCGAAAAGGAAGAAAAGCTTCTCAAGATTGCTCTGCCAAAGGCCGAAAAAATAATGAAAAAACACATCGAGCTACCCGTCGACGACATCGCAACCCGCCGAAAGCGACTGATCTACAGAGCGAAACAAAGAGGGTGGCTCGAAGTTGATCTGCTTCTGGGAACGTGGGCCAGCGAAAACGTTCCCCAAATGGAAGACGGAGACGAATTGGATCAATTCGAGGACTTTGTCAACATGGAAACCATCGATATCTACAACGTTATCACGCTGCGACTCGACGTGCCCGAGGACATGAAGCGGGACGGAAACGGCGTTGTAGAACGAATCCAAGAATGGGCGCGATCCCATCCGCTCGGGAGAGGAGATCCGGACGCCTACAAAGCGGTCAAGATGGAGCACAAGCTTACTTAGGGTGCAGCGATAATTTGGCAGGCGAATGTTTTGGTGCCAGACACATGGAAGACGTTCAATGGAGATGCTTTTCTTCTCGACTTACCTCGACTCCACCAGTTTCACTCCTTTGAGTTTTGCATCTTTTCTTTCGAGAGTTCAAGATGATCGATCCTTCCGAGGCCATGGATTGCACAATAAGATGGGCTGGTAGATCAGTTTCCTTCCGAAACAGAAGGCTTGCTTGTTATTTGGTATTGTTTTATCCGTTCGTACGGACTTGCGAAACAATGTTGAGGCAAAAGTCGAAAGGCTGGTTTGAGGAGCGATAGTTCTGTTGCCCATACATTACCGCATATTATTATTTAAATACAGAAAGTACTATGCAAATTACACCAGTACGTACTACTGTATTCAGTAAATTCAACAGTGTACGTGTAGTTAAATTTTTGGAAAAAAAGGGAGAAGGTGCACTCAAATTGAGAGAAAGGCTTCACAGTTAACTACTCGAATTAATATGCAGTATCTCCTATTCTATGGATATCATTTGAGGTCATACAAATCGTATTGAATTTTCATCCATAAAATCAATCTAAAACTGATTCGTTATTTTCATTGATCACAGGCCGACAAACCAATTATCCAAACTTATCGATGCAAATTGATCCTGAGTCATTGCAGCCGATTAAATGTAAGTGGCACTGGTAAGCTGCTTGCCATCAAAACCATCGGTACAAAAGCCAGAAAGAATCCATCCATAATCACTAAAATCGGGATCCTTCTGGATATTCTCCTGGTATTCTTCCTTCAACCGAGTTGCCTTCTCGTCGTATTTGTCGAGGACGGCTTGGAGTGCGGGGTCGTACGGAGCATCGACCGTCGAAGTCATTGTATGACGACCTTCTTCCATACCACAAACCGTTCCTAACAAAACAGTGATCATATTGAGTCCGAGGGAATCCCAGTTTGGATCGCGAATGTCACGCCATCGCATGACATCCGATGAAGTAGCCAAACGAGTGTAGCCAAGAGTTGAACCATGAACATCAGCCGTGATGCTCATAAGCTCGATCCAGTCTTCGAGGCTATTGATTTCTGAAGTGAAGCTCCCACACTCCTTTAGATACTGCTTCAAGCGTTCCTCGACGGCCGCAGCCTTTTCTGGGTTTATATTGCGAAAGGCATCAGATGCTTCCTTTGCAAATGGTGAGATAAGATTGACATGCTTCCTGAACTCGGTCAGGATCCCTGCTCTATCCATATCTTTGGATGAGATGCCAACCATGGAATCGATCCAGGACGATGCAGAGGGATTCTGGCCCCATGTATTCAATAGACGAGATAGAATAGGTGTGATCGCTGCGGTGGAACCAAAACCCAATTTTCCCGTAATCAAAGCAGTGATCTTGGATTGGTCTGTGTCAAGAATTTCTGGTGCAGGAAGGATCAAAAGTGTCCCAACCTGCGAATACTTTTGTTGAATGTTATTCGCGTAAAACTTTGCCCATTGGTGCATTGGTTCGAAGTCTTTTGAAACATATTGAAATGCAGAAGTTATTAGGTAGTGAAGGACATGAATCGTCGCGTGAATGGATGAGGCGTAAAAGAATAGGTTGTAAATCGCAGCACTTGCCCAGTAGTCCTCGTCTTGTTGACTCTTGAATTCGAAGATTTTCGATCCTTTGGAATCGTCGTAAACCTTGTAACCTGTCAATTTCATGCGCTTGTCAAAGAAAAAGTTTACGTTACGGCCGACGCCGGTCAAAGTGCGTGTCATTTCACGGTATAGTGATGGTTTATTCTTGCAATCGGGATCTCTTCGATCGAAGGATCTGAGTTCAAACCCCCAGCGGGTTTTGGTCAAGGCTGAAGCAAAAAATGGGTCTACCTTAAGAAGATACCTAAGGGTCTTCGCGTTACAGTTGTTTGGGAAAAAATCGTAGTTTGGATCGTCCGGGATGGTGTAATCATCGAGGGTTTCCTCGAGGTAAGCATTTTGCAAGGGAAGCAACCCGTCCGCTTTTGGCTTCCCATTCAGAGCAAAAAGGAGTGGGGCAGCTTTGAAAACAAATTTTTTTGTTTTTGCTTCCACGCCGTCGTTGTTGAGAGCCAGGGGTACGTTATCCTTGGGTAAGTGGACACCGGGAAACACTTCACGGATTACATTTTCGCCAGTAATAGTATCAGCAGAGTCATCTGTAGCAACATTAAGGAGGAGGAGATCATGGGCTCCGTGAAGAGAACTCAGGGTGGAAGAAGGAACGAATGCAGTGCAACGTGTCGCGCCTGCAAATGAAAGCCAAATGATTAGACTAAACATATTGAATGATATGAAATCAAAGTGTAGAATGCTTCTGCAGTTGAAAACTTTTGAAGATACTGTCGTTTTTATTGTGTGGACAAAGATAACAATCATCAGATGAGTATATTAAGCGGCACTTGATCGAAAAGTGGTTCTGAGAATAAATCTCTCTCTGGTTCGAACAGAACCAGCGTTGACATAATGCGACCTCTCATGAAAAAAATCTTTTCCTTCTGTATCCATTCGTGAAGAAACAGAAGGAACATCAACTCCCAACGTGTTTGGTGTTCTCGTTCCAGATGCGCCATGGGAGATATGCATTGTTCTTGTACTTGGGTTTCAAAATCGACAACGTAAAATACGAACTTCTAGAATAATGATGATCGAAAGAAAAATGATATTTTTATTTTCTTACAATCAATGGGTGCTTCCCGAAAACCCACTGGCCTAATTATTTTAACACATATACTAATAACAAATGAACCTCCCATTTACATGTGTTACTTGTTTCCTGTCTGGATGATTACTTGGCGAACTTTTGAGTCAATCTCTTTGTTTTTGTTGGCATTTTGATTCCGAAGTATCAGTAGAAACTACACGGAGATGTACAACACGTAGTAATATTATGAAGCACATGTTGTTATGATTCCTCGAGTAGAGAACAAAAGTCATCTGTTTGGGTTCGTTGGCATCTATTTGAACAGCCCTCATCTGTTATTTTTCTGGCTCGTCCTGGAGAGCCCCGATCGCACGTTTTTTTTTGAATACCGACGCACGAGTAATTGGACGATTCCGTTTATTCTAAATACTCTCAAGCACTAAATGTAGGGATCTAGGGTATTTAGAATAATGGGAATCAAAAATTTTACGGACATACTGAGTGAACGAGATTACGTGTACTCTTAGAATTCCGAAGTTCCGATTAGATCCTCATGTAGATCGTGTACTGAATCTACATGGGGTTCTTACTATTCGGAACTCGTGACATCTTTGTTCTTTGCAAGGTAATGTACCTCTCGATATCTTGGACCTCTTAGGATCCTCATTACGTTGGATTGTATGATGTATATATATGAATATTACCTTATGATATGTATGTAGGAATGGTATGTCCATTCATTCCGATGAAGCATCATATGTACGTATGCTTCCAATACAGGCAGTACGCATGATGCTTCCAATACAGTACGTACGTACGTATCCGTTGCACTGAGAGGAAGGCCACCTTCATTGCAGTCTTTTTAGGAATTTTTTATCTTAACTATACTCCAAGAATGTAATGACAAAAAAGAGGCACACAAAGGAACACACAAATTTTTGATACATGCAATACATGATGTGTTGTTCAGTCTTTCAACGGACTGGAAAATTTTATTTGTCGTGGGTTCCACTCCAGGAGAACTATCTCCATTTGAATTCCTCTTCTTTGAATGAACATTGCTGCTGCACAAGTGGGACTCCACATAGCTTGCACAAGCTCTAAGTATTTCTACCACACATGTAACAAATGTTTCTGCTCCTTGACTTCTTGGTTGGTGCTGTTGCTACCAACAAATGTCTTTCTTTATGCTCCTCAGTCTGATGTTGAAGCAAAATCTTCCATTAACTTGGTTCTCTGCAATGGTCTGCAGATTGTGATATCCAAGCAACCTGCCATTCCTAAGGAAAGTCTTACATGCCTTTCTTCTAGTTGCTCTTCCACTTTTAATCCTTCGTTTTTCTTGCTTGTACTGCCTCAGTCTACTAGTAGTGCTAGTAGTATCACAGTCACCATAAGCCTGGTCAATTGGATCATGATACATTATCATCTGCAAAGCAAGCCTCTGACTTTACTTGCAATAACTCATGACACTGGTTGCATTTTACTCATCACCAAGGCTTCCACCAGTGCACTCTTTGTAGACATTGTATGCAGTAGCTATGGCCAAGGCTTTTGCATCATAATTAATTGCAGCATGGTAGTATTCCCACAATTTGTACTAACTGATGCTGGCTCTGGAGATGTATGCATCAATATGGTCAAGTTTTCCAGCAAATGTATAAAAATAAACTTTGCGAGACTCATTCATTTCAATGCCCCATTGGCGCTTGTCTGTCCCACCACCACTTCCCCTTTCCTTCTGATGAATATTAAGAGAGGAAGACGAAACAGAGTTCACTGATCCTAAATTTCACGCTCTGGTGCTCTGGAATGAACAATGCACTTGTCTGTAGGCTTTGGTTCCTTTCTCAGGATCAGCTGGTACAGTTTTCACTGCAGTTATAGGCTTAGCTATACATGATGTCTTTGCTCTCTGTTTCCCATTCAAATCCCCAGCGGCATTCTTCTTACCATGAAGGTACTTTCAAGGAACCTTTGCAGGTAATCTGTTCTTAGCAACTGTTCCCATCATACCCAAGCCTTGCTCACCCATCCAGTCCAAGATGGAATCTGATAGAAAGAAATTTTTGACTGTGATATGGGGCAGGGACTTCCACAGCTTGCCCAATCCAATGTTATCAAGAACAAAGTTTTCAACAATGTGTTGAACTTCTATCTGATAGAAAGAAATTGCTGGCTGTGATATTGGGCAAGGACATCCACAGCTTGCCCAATCCAATTACCAAAAACAAAGTTTTTCAAGAAGGTGGTGAACTTCAGCAGGGCCAATGCATTAATGTCTATCTTCACTAGATTCCCATCCATGATATTGGTGTTTCCATGCTCTGGGGCAGATGTGATCAACATCAGACATAAGGACTGGATGTTTGTCTGCCTCTTGTAATCATCTTTCCTTTGAGGTATTTAACAAGTGGACCACCAAAGTCTTGATATGGCCAGCTTGACTTGTCAATACATAGGTCCAAGCCGGCCCATTCAGTGAAATAATTTGTATTGTTGAAAATAGTCTCATATATGTAGTTAAGCTTGTAAGCTACCTTGCCACTGCTGGGGTTTCCATGGTAGGTCCTTTCCAGATTGTTTTTGCATAGCTTCAAGTTCCTTTTAATTTCATGCCACCTTGTACCTGTCATGATGTTTGCAATATCCTCATTGAATGAAAGGTCCTTTGAATCCCATCTGTACTTTATGTTTTCACTTGCTCCTTCACAAGCTCCATGCATTGAAAGGATGCCATCAAAATGAACTGCTTTAGGTAAGGTCACAGGTTTCACTTGGTGTCCTTTCCCTTTGTTTGAATCAGAGACGTAGACATTGGAGCCAGGATTTCAGTTCTTTGCCATCTATGCCGCCGGGACCTGCTGCTCCAGATAGTTTTGAGGCCACGGTCTTGACGATGTCCTGGGTAATGCACATTGGCATGGCTTTTGGGAGGGTGGGGTAGGGTTCAAAGACGCCATCTTCGGATCCCAGTTGGGTGGGATCGCGGAGAGGTGGGTGCTTGGATTTCAGGACCTCCATCACTGGTCTTCCAGTCTTGGTGCATTGGTCAGTTGGGTGGAGGAGGCTACTGCCCTCTCTGTTGGTGAGATTTCTACAGGCGGCTTGGACTCGGCCTGAAGTGAGTTTGGCATGGAACGCTCGAAAAGCTTCCTTGTCGGTCTTCTCAGCGATTGGTCCATGCGGAGCCTTGCCTGTGCCAAGAAATCATCGAGGAGTGGATCAAATTTCCTGTCCGTCCAGTGTTGAAGGCGTGATTGGATGAGGTCGCAAATGTCCCTGGCCTTTTTCACACCGTCCGCCTCCTGGAGCATTAGTGCGACAAAAACCAGAGGCTGTTCTGCATTGTGGTTGCGGTGCCAGACCCCTTCCAATTCTGCTGTTAACTTCAGGAGAAACTCTTTGCCCACCGTGTTTCGCGGAACCAGGTAACGCCGGGCCTTGACATTGACAACTTTGAGCCATCGGCGAAGCCAGGTAGCATCATCAGATTTGCCCAAGGTCAGGTGAGTCCCAGGGTTGTCATGAATGTGATCGCTTCTTTTCAGGTTCAATCTAATACTGCTGTACACAAGTTACGTGTACTCTCAGTTGGTTTTTTGTGTATGAAAAATTGAAATTATAAGATTAAGATTACCAAGCGCGTTCATGAGAATTCTGAAGCTATGATCTGAACCCTGTGTAGATCTGGTAAGGGTAAGACATGATTGATATGAATGTCAATATCGTGAGGAGGAGTTGGTGTTTTTGGTTGCAGATGGTTTCACCATGGTCGATGTATTATTTTTGGTTATTTTCCTTAATGGTTGATTAATTTCGATACACAAAAACCGGGTAGTAATTACTGTGCATGAGTTACATGTACTCTCAGTATGTTTTTAGTGTATGAAAAATTGAAATTATAAGATTAAGGTTACCAAGCGCGTTCAAGAAAATTCTGAAGCTGTGATCTGAACCCTGTGTAGATCTAGTACTGAATCTTACACGAGTGTTCTCTGTTCCGGACTTCTGACATCTTTGTTCTACATGAGGTATTCTTCAAATGGTATCTTGGACCTCTCACGATCCTCAACACAATGGATTGTATGATATATACATAAGAAAGGTACCTTACGATATGTACGTAGGAATGGTATGTTCCTTTATTCTTTTCTTCAAGCTTCATACGTACGTATGCTTCCAATACAGTACGTACGCATCTGTTGCATGCTGAGCTTCCATTGATTCTGAGGTAATAGGTAGCAGCAACTGATAGAAAAAGAATGGATCTCCATTTTCAATACAGTCCTTTGTGACCCCATGCTGCTGAAGCTTGAAGACACCAAGCTTCCCCTTCCTCTCCTCTGGAAACATGTTATCTCTCCTTGCAAACTTCCTTGAAAAATTGTTGTTTGGATCTTCTGCTGTACCATACCACATGAGGTAATGAAACTTCCACCCTTTTGTTCTCCCTAATGGTTGGTTCCTTCCCAAGACCAGTGAA